CTGTCCGTATCCAGACTCTCGTGAAGTATGCAGGTGTTTGCCATCCCTCTGCTTCTTGCTGCGGGGCCCCACGGGCTAAACAATTAGCATTGCTTCAGGGCTGACCTTGTACAGAAGCAATATTGCCATATTAGTTAATTGCAAAGCAATCAATGATTTCAAGACACGGTAGTGATCACGCTTGTTTTGTGTCTTGAGCCAAATACGTTCGTGTGCGTCAAGCTGCTCTTCATCTACCTCTCGTAGAGTACTCTTAGCTACATCAAGCAAGTGCGTGGGGCTCGAGTACTGTTAACTCCCCCCTTGAAGACAGCGTGAGACGCTACAGAACTCTTTACGCGGACTACCTACTTGGTGGACCTACCACTTCATCAGAAGTGGAAGCCAAGCTCTCTGAGCTTCAGCTGGCTGTCAACTGGCAGCCTGTTCACGTTTCTAGGGGTAAAGGCAATTACGACGACTCTGTCACCTTTCGTGCAGGTGGTTGTCGCATGTAACCGTCTTGGATCGAAGATCGCTGGCCATTTAAGGATCTCGCCCTTCTCACCTCGACTGAGGTCTGGGCATGGGTAGCCACCGTCTTGTGACTGCACCCACACGTGGCCCCCCTCGAACACTTCAAGTGGGATTACAGCGTTCTTGCTGCATGGCTCGTTGTAAGAATCCTTATGAGTCAAGGTAATTTGATTCTTGGCCAACATCACTGCCGTAAACTTATGCTTAGGCAACACCCTACGGATGAACCTGCACAAAACCGCAGTGACTACTGGGAAGAGGGTTACATTTTGACTTAAACCTGCGATCCCACCTCCGTGCGCGAACGCACCGGTGGTGAAGCACATTGCCTCACTTGCAGAGGGGCGCACGGCGCTCTCCCCTGGCAAATATGACAACAGCTGCACAAGGTCTTCTTGTGTGATCTTCCTAGGCAGTGAGCTTGCAAAACGCTCTGCTTCCTCGACTACAACCTTTGAGACGGTCGCATTGTGAGGGACACCTTCGTGAAGGCACAGCTGTGTAAGCATGTCAGACCACTCAGCGGGAGGGATGATCTTAGTCAAACCATTAGCTAATTGCTCCTTGCTGTTCACGTAAGTAGCCGAAAAATCTTCTTGCTCAAAAATCTCTGCCATACTTGCCACGTTCACGCGGTGCACGCGCCCTAAGTGGCGAAGCTTTGGACTGTATCCCGACTTCAGGATGGCCAAGACAGTTTCATTGTCTTGGAAGAAGATGATCGGCACTGTGCTTTTGAAGGCTGACTGTAAGAACGTCTGCAAATTTATGACCTCTGAAAACATAGCTGATGCCATTGAAATCATTTCGGCCTCTGGCGTCGACCTCGCAACAGACGTTTGCTTGCGACTTTGCCACATCACAGGGAATGCATGTTGACCTGTGCCTATGTGGACGACAATCCCGGACGTGCTACGTGAAGTGTAGGGACAGGCTGCAAAGTCAGCATCTGTATACACCCGCAGCTCGGGAGCGGCATCCCAAGAGCAACTGGCATTCATGCAAACATCTTTGGTGTGATGGATATATGACACAAGTCTCAGCACTTGTCTGTCCTCCCAGGCAGTCCACCTAGTGACCCTGGAAGCTAGGCGAGTTACCGCGAATGCAATGTCAGCTCTACAGAGACGAGCTAACCACAAACAGCGCATCAGGATGCGTGATGCTGTATCGTGGAGCTCGCCTTGCGCTGAGATATCCTCGTCAGTCATTGACGATTCAGCGATACAGGGCGTGCTCACTCGACGGAGCTTGTCGGGCGTTGTCCCGGTGATCTCGCAATAGGTTTGGACGATCTGCTCAGCATACTCAGGCATCCTAAAAGCCATTGTGGTCGACGATGGTTCATCGTACCGACAATGCAGTCTACCTAAGATCCGAACACCCTCAGAACCTATGAAACACTCGGGATCAAGTTTGACCTTTGCCCTCAACGCTTGCCAAAATGGCGTGTGCAACTTTGTTAATCCGCACAAACTCAAATCATCGACGTAAATGTTTAAGATGAGAACCCCATCCTTGTACTCAAAGAACCAGTTGCTCGGAAACTCCTGGGACTCCTTTCCGCCTAATGAGATCAAAATCCTAGACAAATACTCTTGCCAGAGCCGTCCGGCCTGTGGGTGGCCGTACAAGCTCTTGCGGAGTCGAACGACTATTCTCGCTTGCGCTCCAAAACGCTTCTCCCAGCCGGGAAGCCATAACTCCCTTGGCAAGATTACGTATGTCTCTTCTTTAAGCTCTGATTGGAGGTATGCTTGGATTGCGTCAGAGCATGACGCAGAGTGCTCTGGTAAGCAACCCCAGAAGAGGGAGGCGTTCAAGGCTATTAACCCCGTTGGAGTCGTACTGGTCTCTTCGAAGAAAACCAGATTGTTGAACTCATCCAAAACCCTATCCCCTCTATAAACAATTCTCCCTTTGAACTTTTGAAATTCAGGTGCAAGTTCGGCATGCTTTACCCCGCACAAGGTCATCAGCTCTGCGACGCGAAGCTTGTGTCCCTGAGACCTGGCCTGACTTCTCAACTCATGCAAAGGCATGGCTGTTGTGTCATCCCATGTGCCGTTTCGGCGCAATCCCTCTGCCTCTTGAGCGATGGCTTCAAGCGCCTTCGGCTCAGCTTGCCACTCTCGGCGAGAGAGATTCTTGGTGATAAGCGCACTAGCTTTACCAAGATTGGGGACACTTTTGAAGTACCTCTGGGGAAACAAGGATTGTATCACTAGATCTGCAAACTCATACGCCTTGATGTCGGTTGCATTGATCCCTGACGAATCCTTTGTTGTCACCTTTGCGAAGTGCTCCAGTACTCGCTTGGAGTTTGAAGCAATGGTGGTGGCTTTGTTACCGCTGACACAGGCTACACTGGAAAGCTCGTGTTTCGAAGCGAAATCGATCCACTCAGGCTGCCCAAGCACCCCTGAATCAGAACTCCACTGAAACGAAACCCGACCCCCCTGCTCAATGATATGGTCGGCAACATTTAGGGCCAAAACCAACATTCGCTTGGATGCTGCCCGCCTTTGTGCAATCTTTCGTGCGTACTTGGGACTTTGGGACTCACGATGTACGGCTTGATGCGAAGACATATGTGTGCATGGTATGGTGAACCAAGCATCTACACCTGGGATTGCTTGGGAAACAACTTGTTGCATGTCATCCTGCGAAGTCAAGTCCAGCGTTGACTGGGACAGACTAACACAATGAACCTTACAACGTTCACAAGCGTTTCTTATCTCAGACTCGTCTTCACAACCATACTCGATCAGAACATTTTCCGCTGGAAGTTCCTTCACCCTTCTGGTGTTGTTACGCGCTCTCTCGTTTGCGAGAAACCTTGCACTCAAACCAAACTCACCTGTTGGAACTTTGCTTTCGGAAGACTGAACTACAACACCAGCTGGAGCCCGTGGGCCAGCAGAGGAGCTCGCGCGCTCTGGAGCATCCTCATCACCCTCGGGGGCTGCGGGTGCAGACTCCGCCGAAAGATCAGGGCGCTCAACATCAGGCGGTGCAGCGTCTCTGACTGACTTGCTCGCGGCAATCTTCTCGGCTTTAATCAAACCATCAAATCTTGCCTTACATACTGGCGTGTGTGTACTGTTCCATCGAACTTGCAGGCCTTACAACCAGGTGTTGCACCTAGTCGCATAAGTCTGTCTAAAGTAATGTACTCGTGGCGCTTGGCAACGGGTGTTGACGGCGCTACCGTGCTGAACGGCACATCAAGAAATTCGATGGCTTCATGCTCGGCTTTCGTGAAACTAGACAAAGCAGCTTCTGCAGCGGTGAACATCGGGAGGATGGGATTACCGCGGGGAACGTGGATTTCCTCTCTAGGGACGGAGATCGCCTTTTCGTACCCCGGTTCACGGTTCTTTAGCTTACCATAGTCCAAGACATAGTAGACTTCTCTAAAGGATGATGGACCGCTATCGAACCGCCAACCTGCGAAAACACCAGGCGCTGCTGATGCCTGAAACTTCTCACGGTTTGCCGGGTCAAGTCTGTAGTAGACTAGTTGACCAAGTTGTAATTTCATGCCACCAAACTCGGATCCAGTCGCGTTCGCATACCGACAACCCTCAATCCCAACCGCAGGGTGGAAAAGGTTAATGGTGTGTGCCGCATAGCGAACAGTGTGAACCCAAAGACCCGAATGCAACTGAAAACCGGCCGCAATGTGGAGAGCCCTTGTACACTCCTCGATGGTACGGATCTCCCGTTCGAGAACTGAGTTGTGAGGCCATCTACGCTCAAGGCTTGGTTCTGAAGTAAACCCCAACGTCGCACATGCGGCGAGGAGCTCTCGCGCATTGTCGCTCTTGAACAATACACAAGGTCCAGAAGCGCGCCTACCGAGAAAGGATAACAATGATCGTACCACCCCGTCTTCGTGCCTGGACACTAGCGGGAATGCTCTTATGTACCCTGTAGCCTCATCCCTCACAGTCAGGACGACGGTTTCAGTGCTTTTAGCGTCTTTGTGCACTATGATGAAATCAGCCGCTATCCGTTGACCGAACTCTTCAACCGGATCTAACTCATCATCACACTTTGCATAGCGCGTCCTCGCCGTTCGCTTCTTTAGCATTCGACTCCGACTGCAGACATCACAGTAGGGGTTCTTTGGCATATGCGTTAAGCGATGCTGTAGACTCTGGGCTTCAGTGATTAGCCGCTGAGCCTTGGTTGGTGCATCCTCATCACCCTCATCGTCGGCACCGGAACCTTCCCCTGGATCAGGTGGAGGGGGTGCTGCGGGAGCTGGGAGAGGAGGGTCCTCTGCTGGGACAGCGGGCGCAGGAACCTCTGCTGGGGCTGCCGGAGCAGACTCACCAGCGGCTAAGGCTCTGTGCAAACCATCACCACCAAACCTGATCTGCTCACGAAATACCGGAACATAGTCATCAACCTTATGGGCATAAATGACACGATCCGAATCCCAAGTGATCTGGATGCAATCTTCGTCACTACCGAAG